AAACACATATTAACATAACCTATGACCGAATAGTACCACGGTATTTACTTCACAATTAAGTTCTGGAACTAATCCTCGGATGCCCTTAAAACAAATGATTCAAAACTGGCAAAAGTAAAGGGCATCTGAAGAATATAAGATAAAATGATAGTACAAACAAGCAAACAGTGTGCATGAAAATGTTGGCAAACACTAGAAAAAATGCTAAGGTACTTTCTCAAACTCAGCATGAATACTAAAGAGGTTTTATGTAGCTGTATTGCACATACCAAAAGCTTTCCTGTCGTTAAAGGTTGGTTGCCTAGTAGTTATGTAGTATGTACAAGTTTTTCCCTCTATTTCTTCTAATTTAAGAAGCGAAAATGTCTCTATAAATCTTATGGTTGGCATGAAGTATTCCTGATCATTTTACTGATTACTTACAATTGTCCTATTTCTGGGGTCATCTTCTGATGAGTGTGTTCTCTGCAATTTTCACAATTGAAGTTCCTGTTTGACCTGCTACATATTGAAAATCCTCAATGAACATGATTTACTAAATACTTCTCGCCCTCAACAGAGTTAAAAGACAGAGAAAATTCAAAATACATACAAGTGCAACTTAGGATTAATCTATTTTAATTTTGTGCACAATTGTTTTCAAAATCACATTAAAATCAATTTTCCTTAAACAAGAATCCAGCAATAGATAAATATTAATTAATCGAATAAACTTACCTTTTTTCTTGTCAATCAGACAATCTTGTTGACATTAAGTGTTTCTTAGTCTCCATATTTTTTCCATGAAAACAAACGTTGTTATGATCAGGATCAACGGAAGTTGATTTTCGGAAATCTCGAGAACTTAGAGTTCCGAATGTAAAACTGAAACACAAAACACGGTGCGTCCGTGAAAGCAACTTTTTGGACACTTTTTTTGACAAATCGTCGTGTCCAAGTTTTGTTGGGTACTAACCTGCAAATACCCAATTAGGGTGTTTTAAGCATATTTAGCGACACTTCTTATTTGGTATACCCAATAAGCAAAAAGTACCCAATAAGTACAATCTTGGCATGAAAAATACCCAATAAATGCACTCTCGTAAACACGGACAGACAGACAGACAGACGGACGCCGGACAAAATGTGATCAGAAAAGCTCACTTGAGCCTTCGGCAGCTGTCAATGATATCAGAAAGCATGGATTTTAATTTTTCGAGGGGAATTGTTGTGTAGTTGAAAGTTGAAAAGTCGTAAGTTTTCAAGCTGGTGATTTTTGTAAAGTCTTGTGATTTCAAATTGTCCAAGAGTTCTTTAGAATTTTAAAGTATCCACAACTGATTCACACCACTTCTTGCATATATAGTTGAACAGTACTCTTGAAGTTTTTCCTTCACAACTGTCAATATCTTAGTGAGGAGTAATGAAAGAGGCTTGGTTGGACATTTACTGGAACCTGCAATGTATCTTGTTTGTTCTTATGAAGTTTCGGAATCCAATATATATATAAGGTAGTTCAAATTCATTTTGGCTCTGTGGAATATTAAAAGTATTCAAAACTGACACGTGATTTTGAAGAATTTCTTCCTTAGAAAGGGAAGTATGAGTATAAGTAGGATTACCATTTGTAGAATTTAATCCAAGTTCTTCGAAATTCTAGAATGCAATTAACGGAATAAACCTTACAAAGGAAGACAATGTTGTTACCTGCTTTGTCAGCAGGAACAAGTACGTACTGATCATGTAATCTATCTAATTCTTTTTTCACTTCTGGTTTATTGAACACAGAAGGATAGATGGTTTTCGTTTTACCCCTCAATCTAATACGCGACTTCAACATAGATCTAATACATTTTATCCATTCTGACAAGGTGTCAACGTCTTCTTTTTCATATCTGGCCCATCGTCTGGCGTAATTTTCAACAGAATCCATAATATTTATGAAATTCCGACGCCAGTTGAAGGATCGGGATTCCCTATATTTAGGACCTTTTAAAATAAGTGATCTAAGATCCTCATTACTAACTATATTTATGTCACCTGTAATAACGTGTCCAGCAAAACTATAATTATAGTGCGAAGAAGAACATGAACATAAAGGAGGATTATGTTTCAGATAGTCAGTATGCAGGCCAATGAAAAGTGTGTTTGTAATTGAACAGTTTGGAAGCGATGGTCGATGTATATTTTAGGAAATACAAGGTGTAGTCTTTAACTTATATGGTGGAATACAAGATTGGACCCTTTTGTGATGACGAATATTACTTATATTAACCGCGTCAATTCCTTTATTGGCATATTGAAGTTTAAGGAAAAGACGGATTGTTTTAGCTGCATTTTCTTCCATGAAACGTGCATGTTTAAAAAGCCTACGATATGTAATATCCATAATCACAGATTTCGAGCCTTGAAATAAAAGATACCACAGAGTCTGACACATCTGTGTCGTATTTGCATATTTTACTTGAAAAAGATGTTAATGGTAATCTAACAAAAAGCTATATGATAAACGTGATGCCTTTAACTATTTTATCGTCAACTTACTTTTCTTATGCTGCAATAAACCTTCATCACCTGCATACGGCATTTATATATCTCAACTGACTCGATACGTAAGAGCATGCTCTACGTATGAACAATTTCTAAAACGGGCTAAATTATTGACAAACAAGTTGATGAAACAAGGATAGTACGAGGGTTCATCCAATAGTAATGTCACAACTTTGATAACATTGCTATAAATCGACGTAAAACAACAAAATTACAATTGATTGAAGCTTTATCTATTTCAAATCAGACCCACAAAATTCAAAGGAATCTAAAGTATACTTTCCAAAATACCGGATTTTAAACAATGTGCGTTTATGGTAGTCACCGCATCTAAACGTCATATGACGGATACGCACCGTCATGTTTTTAAGTGTTTTCTCTTCGTTTTATGAAACATTTGTGATTGGAAAACACTTTCGCCAATTTCATTTTATTTAAGAATTCTTGGTACCATTATACACTCACTGTTTTCATTATTTAGCCCTGTGTCAATTTTTTTAACAGTAGCATAAGACAAACTTGAAAATTCACATGTATCCGTCTGTCTCATTTGACAATGTCAGACACCATTGAATGTTTCCGTCCAATCTCCTATCTTTTGGTCTTCTTGTCCTCTGCTGATCATTTAATGACCCATCAGCCGCCCAAAATTGCTGACACTATCTATAAAGAAGTCTCTTTTTTACATTATTTATTCTCTGAGTATGATTGATTAACCCTACTTTCGCTTGTGATGATTCCCATATTTTGAAGCAAAATGCATTACAACTCGTTCAGCTGTTTTTTCTCATTTCGACAATCCCTTTGTTCAATTTCAGCAGAGTAAAACAACATTGTTATAATATCAAATACTAAAGTCGTTATTTAATTTTCAATTGAAGACTAAAAATTACGTAAATTTGTGTTTTTTTTAAAATGTGGAGATTAGGTGCTTTTTATAACCTTTTAAATGTGTTTGTCTTTTAAATTCTAAGAAAAATTACATTTTAAAACGTGACGATCAGTTGTGACGCGGCGACATCCCTCATGCCCTATGTTTTAAACATCTATAAAATAAATTCAAATAAACATCATTTAATGAAAATTTCAATGTTAATTAGATTTGCATTTGTGCATCTTTTGATATATTGTATTTGATAATATGACGCCAAACATATAAGATATGTACACTGTGACATTACTTTTGGATCAACCCTCGTAGCAGTCTCGTTTAAAGTAATCATTTCTTTGGTCGATACAATGACCTTGTAAGCAAATACAATTTAACATCTAATCAAATGCTGGCTGACATTTTTCATACTAATTGTTAGTCTATTATTTATATACTGAATTGACGATGGATTTTTCTGTTATCTGCCGATGATGACAAGGTGCACACGGCGGGTGTAACCGGTCAGCAGAGGATGCCAGAGAACTCCTCCATGGTACCTGATCCGACCTCTGATGTTTTAGAGGTCCTTGTTTTTTCTGCACCTAATTTGTATTCTTTTATATACTTTGATATTGAATACAGTTCGTTATCTCCATTATTTTCCCTATATTATTCAATGTTTAATTCAACTTCCCTGTAGCTTCGCCTTAATATCAGGGGTCATGGTTTACACAATTCAAAGTCTTCTCTACGCCAGAATGCTTTCACATAAGATTAAGCTTTTCTTATCAAGTGTTTCTTGACAAGAAGATTTTTTAAAGATTTTCCTAAACATTTGAATGTATAAGTTAGATAACCTATTATGACCAAGCTCTACCCCATAGAGTCAAGATTTAAACACTTTACAATCTACACTACCAAATGATGTTTTCAGATAAATGTTAGCTTTTCCGGTCCCGTGGTCCTTTAGAAGATTATTTTCTAAGTTTTTATAACACCGGAAGTTGCCTTTCATTAAAACATACCTTGTTTATCAGTTTAACCAAATATTTCGGTATATTTCCGATCTGTTGGTAAACTGATGGCGGCGATAAATCTAATTTTCTAAAATTAAATTATATATTCCTATCTATATGACGTACGGACCTATATTTATTTGGTATATTTCCATCGCGTAAATAATGACATTAAATTTGCTTCGATTGTTGAACCTATCAGAACACAAATTATCAATTAAAGGATATAATATCACATAATTAGCTACATGTAGGACTTTTTTAATCCTTAATTACAATGTAAAGAAAAAAAAAACAATGACCTTGAACGAGTATGCCAAATGTCCCTTGCTTAGAGGACCCATCCCCCATCATATAATTGAATAGCTAGCGGTAAAACTACTTTTTCTACAAAGTATCAATATTTAGGAAAACTACAAATCTTATAAGGGAAAAGGTTTTTATTGTTTTCCACAATACTTAGGCCTACATCTGAAGCTGTTGATATAAGAAAGATGAAAGCATTTCAAAGCATAATTCAAATGTAATGTGACATGTAAAACTTTGACGAGAAAGATGACTTTGATTCAGGCTACATAACTCACATTTCAATACGTCTGCGGAAGAAAATCTTTGTAAACAGCTACTTGCAGTGCAGGAATCCTTGAATAAAATCTGAACATTTTGATTGAGGTCGTCGTATCCAATGCAATAACCTAAAATGTGCAGTTAAACTTGTTTTCAAAGAACATAAACGCTTTATGCTGTGAATGTATTTATATGGAAATAATTGATCTCTTATAAAGTCTTAATTTCATTGAAACTTACATAAACCTATGTATCTATAAAATATGCTTAGCTTGATAAAGACATATTGAAACTTTGTTAGGATACATTCCTGTCTCTAAGGAAAGCATTGGTACATTTGCCTTTTCTAGGAATGTGAAAAATAATGTTTGCCAACCTAATGAGTAGATCGCTGGAGCACACACTTCATACAGTTTGTCCTTTTTTGTGCTTGGAAGACAATGATAAACAAACTCCTCCGGTTTAGAACAGTTTTGTAATGTTGCTATACTTTCACAATCTTTTTCTTCTTTTGCCTTCTGAAGTTCTGATGAAGTGTGTGGGCAAGAATGTACCGTTGTTTGTGTTGGTTTTGATGCTTTACATGTATCAGCGTCAATAATACCTACCTAAAAGTAATATTCGCACATACATACTGAGACATACATAGAACAGTTTAAAAATGAAATTCATATTTCGAAAAAACTGACAATTCAAACACATGCTTAATATAAGTTGGACCACAAAATTATTTAATTATATCAATTATGGTTCCAAAGAACGTAACGCCAATTTTATAAATACAGTTAACAAAAAATGAAGATTTTTATTTTCATTATCTTTCCGTAAGCTCGTTTTGACGTTCACTTGATTCGAATATTTAACAAACAGGATATTTAAAAAAAAACAAAGGTAGAAAACAACTCTATCTGTATACATACAGTACATGTTGAAAAGTTATAGGAAAACGTACCAAAATATTTTTTTTAATGGTTCTCAAAAGGGGATATTATAACGTTGGTCGATTTGCATACCAATTCTATAGATAAACAAGAAAATTGTGGATAGGGAATTTAAAGAGGTTAAAGCTAAAATGGGGAAGAGAGGGATGAAAAAAGATGGAATGAGAAGACAGATAGAAGTATCAGAGAAATGTTCTTCCCGTCCATACTCATCCACCTCTATTTATTTAAAAAATAAGGAAGGCGAAAAAACAGTAAATATACATTTACAAAATTTCTAAAACTTACTTGCGATTTGTTAAATAATGGGTAACCTGAAATACAGATATAAGTTCTAGCTTGAAAATCACGTAGAACTTTGTCTGGTGCCATTTGTGTGGCCTGGCATTTAAATTGCACTGACATCTATTTTGGCTTTTAAATCCAAATTGGGCATAATTTTACACACTCTCTCAGTAGACTTAATGTTTAAGAAATAAAAATAAGATTTACACTGAAAAATGCCTGAAAATAGCGAATTTTGACCCATATCACGAAATTCTCATTAAGGTCATTGGCAACGTTTCTGGTTTTCGTATAGGATTTTTCAAGATTTTTTGAACAGGTTTAATGGTACCAAACATATTCAATTCAGTTTCTTTTTACCCATCATGCCAGCCTTCCTTTATAAATTTTGTCAAATCAATGTTTTTTTACAATTTTCAATGCATTTCCTATGTAAAATGTTGAAAAAATTGCCATATATTATTTTCAACCATACGTTTTCTCCAAAACCCATTTATTTCATAATGTTTATACATAAAATACATTGTTGAAACCTTATTTCCGATGACATGCATATTTTTGGGCTGAAAATGCAAATATTGAAACAAAACACAGAAATACCAGCAGTGTTCTTTAATTTTGAGTTACTTCCCTTCACATCTAATCAATATTCATTATGATCAAGAGACTGGTTGTTTGTTTCTAATTTACTTTATTGGAAGCGAACTGCCATAAAACATTTTTGCAAGGATTTATAGTAACTTTTAATGGTGTCTATCTCACATAACCTATAGAATCGTTCTCATTCGGTCTACCTGGCAATCACAACTTTCAGTATAATTATTTCACATCTTTGCACTTCCCAGCATTCATGTACCTATTCTAAATAACGACCTGTTGAATGCCTGCCACCTCAGCACACTTTAAACAAACCCATCGCTGCTTTTTTTTTTATTACTGTAGAGTTGAATATATCCGATAAAAAACACACGTGCTTTTGTTTACTTCTCAGTCTGTAACATATGCTTTATTTGTTTTCAGCGCCTAGAGAATTCCATACGGGAGATCACTCTCAATGACTTTTTTTCATAAGTGAGAAAACCTATGTATAAACCTTTATTCTCCGGAAACCCTGCGTTGCCAATGACCTTAAAAGCCGCATTTATTTTTGTTCTTTATTTTAACCAACACAATACTTCCAACCGATCAGCACATATTTCATAAACCGTTTAATAAAACAAAATATTTTAGTGTCTATTGAGATTTGTAATACCCCAACATGATATATTTTTAGTGCAAAAAGGCCTCACAATATTCTTTTTGCATTAATGTGCATGATGTGTTCAATGATTGTATAATTCTAAATATTTAACATAAATAAGATGTTATTTATAGCTATAGTAAATACATTTGATAAAATATGAACACGATTAAAGTGATTTACAAAAAAAGTTGCAATTTAAGTGTAAACAAGTTGACTTCATTGTGCCGCTGATACAAAGCGAAATGTAATAACAACACGAAATGTAATAAACATGGATTTTTACATTTTGTGTCATTACATTTTGCGTCGAACTCAACACAAAATGTAATAATTTATAAATATTGCATGTAGTTGAGTGTAAAATTGAAAATTTTCACCCCAAGAAAACTTTGTCAACCGAGGCGCAGCCGAGGTTGACAATGGTATTCGAGGGGTAAAAATTTTCAATGTTACATTCAACAACATGCAATATTTATTATATTATACTGAATGCTTATACAAATACATATTACAGTGATCCATGCGCGGATATATTCCGCCCAGTCGCTATTTTTTGTAATACCACCCGTCGTCATGCAATGTTGACTGTTGCTATGCAGGAGGGCGTGGCTTCATTATTCAGCGGGTAGTAGTGTTTTTTATCAAATGTTTCTCGACGAATCAGATTCAAGTAATTTACATGAAAGTATGATATTGCAAAACGTAATAACAAGATTTTTAGATTATCACATTTTGGGTTTTTACATTTTGCGTCGAGATCAACGCAAAATGTAATAACGTGCTTTTTCGATGTTACATTTTGCGTTATTTTATTTTTGCACTAAAGACAACGAAAAATGTAATAAAACAATATGTAATGAAACAAAATATAATTTTTTTTACTGCATTTAACACAAAACTTCATAATATTGATTTAAATATGTACGTGTAACCAACAATTTTGAGAGGCGTATTATAAATTTTGAGTGCCAACATTTACTGTGACAAGAACCTGTCTCCACGTCTTGCAATAGTATTCTAGCCGACTCCTTATTCCGCAACTAGAGATTTAATTTGTAAGTTTATATTATCATGTACTTCTTTGAAAGAGTGGTCACGATGAAACATTTGATTATTGAATAGAAAGATCGAAAGAATTTTGTTTCTGCTTGTCTGCTGGTGATTTGTATGGAACGGTATAGTATCATAGTTGTAAATAAACACCCTTTCCGCTATATGATTGTATATTGTTAAACGTCCCTCTTGAGAATTTTTCACTCATATGGAGACGTCACCGTATGCTGGTGAAGGGCTTCAAATTTAGAACTATACTCGGCACTCAGGGCCATTGAGCAGTGAGGGTTCTTTATCGTGCCAGCGCCTACCGTGACACGGGACCTACGTTTTTAAGGTCATATCCGAAAGACCCGTGACTTTCACTTCTAGTGCCGAGCGCTTGGCGAAGGAACAGTCACTACCTTTGTTTACGTCTTAGGTATGACGCGGCGCCGCGAACGAGAATCGAACCCGGGCCCCCCGATCACGAAGCGAACTCCTTTCCGCTATATATTTATAACTGTCAGTATGAATGAAAAGTTTTTTTTAGATTCGTTGCATTTGTCCATATAAAAAGCAAATCCCTCCCCGACCCCAACAACAACAACACCGCCCACACAAGCACGTTTATAATTTGCATTTAACACATTTAATTTGATTGATTGATTACATTTTGTTAAACGTCCTTTTTGAGAATTTTTTCACTCATATGGAGACGCCACCACTTGCCGGTGGAGAGCTGCAAAATTTTTCCTATAATCTCCGGACCATTGAGCAGGGAGGGGTCTTGTTCATGCTAGCACATACTGCAACACGGGACATTGGTTTATACGGTCTTATCCGAAGGACCGGTCTCCACGTCCCACAGTGGGATTCGAACCCCCGACATAAGGATCAAATCCTTACTTTGCGACCCTAGAGCAGACGCTCTAACCAATGCAACCACGCGGGTGACCCTATAATTTTAATAAATGTATCAAATTGATTTTTAATTCACGAAGCTAATTAAATCAATATATTCTAAAATTCATTAATTGTAAGAAATCGCATATATCTATTCTTTCCTTTCGTTTTCATAGGCTACTACTCTATTGTAAATTGTACTCAATCTGGTTGACCAAAAAGTGTGTTATTACATTTGCGTTCTTTCCTTTTGCTTAATATCGACGCCTAATGTAACAACGCAAAATGTTATAATCCAAAAGTCGTGTTATTACATTTTGCGTTATTAAATTTTGCGTTGATCTCGACGCAAAATGTAATAATCCAGGTTTATTATATTTCGCGTTGTTACATGTATTACAATTGTAAAATCCGATGAATTCAGAATAGCTCTGACGAGAGTAAACAAGACTACAGCAAGATAGGGTCAATTATTCACGGAAATGTGGCTAGGAAAAGACTAGCAACTGGAGACATGGTAAACAGAAAAGTTTTGTAGCGTTTCCGTTTTAACCACACTATGATATCTGTAGAAATGTACTTCAACTGATCTCTCTGGAATTCATTTAAGAAATAAGGCATCATTTTTTTAGTTTTACTGGGATGTAGAACGGGTTGGTTACGTGATCAAATCACATAAAGCCCTTTATGGAAGATTTGACCATGTGCCAACCCGTTTTACATCCCAGTAAAACTCAAAAATGATACCTTATTTCTTATATTTACATTTGTTACTAATTCATACTTTAAATTTGCCTGATTGTGATTATAACGTGTGAAATGCATTATTTTTCAAACCCATCGGGATGTATGTAATCCACTGAACGCACGTAGACCCATTATGTCGTCACTGAGAAATTACGTCGAACGTTTATCCATACGCACATCTATGACCTCTTGACCGCGTACCTGTATTTATCCAGTTATAAATACGATTGCTTTCAGTAGTGTTATATAAAGAAAAACATTTGCAAATGTAAATTTCCAAACTTAAATAAGCATTTTCTAAAATAAAATTTTCTGCAGGCATGAATTAAAGTTTCTTTTTTTGCATCGGAATCGGGACTATGTTTTAGGCGTCAGATTAGCAAATGAAGCACAAACATGAATTTAACTGACAAATCAGCTGAAGAGAAATGTGGTTTACTACGAATGCTTCTGA